AATTACAACGCCATTGTCATCTATCCTCTGCCCATCCTCATTCCTTCTGTTCCCTTCTCTGTCAACTAAATGACCTTCAACATCTGTCCTCAGAACAAGTGGTCCAACCATTTTAGTATGCTTTTTGGCTTTCCTGATGGTTCTCTCTAGCTTGGCGAGTTCGTCGATGCCTAAAGTCAACAGTTCTTTGTCTTTGTTGCTCCTGGTACTGCGATTATGCATGCACCTGAAACAGACAACAGAAAAGTGAAAGAAGTTAGTAAACAGAAAATAAAAACTTAGTCAAAATTCTAATACTAAAAATCTGAAAGCGATATCTAAGTCCCCGGCAACGGCGCCAAAATTTGATATGCTCAAATTAACCCTTAGAGCTACTCTCTCAAATTAAGAGATCACGGTAGTACTTAGGGATCGAATCCACAAGGACTTGAGACTATCACTCAACAGATTTTAGATTCAAATAATGCTAAGCAGTAGATGATAAAATAAAACTAAATATTTGCGAAGTCAATGAGATCAGGATGGTTGTTGGTTCTTAAAATCAATAGAGACAAGCGCTAGGCAATGGGAAATTCGCAGGTTGACATAAATCGCAGACCACAGACTGAAAGGAATATTTATTAAAACCGTTATATAACTCGAAACACTAGTGTAAAACCAATCGACTTCCGTCGCAGAGATTAACTATGATCAGATTTCAGAATTCCAAATTCCTTTACAAACTCTAACAACCTAAACATGCATTATAGATCAGGTTCGATAAGTTCACAAAACCACTAATCCAAATTCCTTTGCAACTAGTTATTTTGCTCATCTAAGATAGTTCTGGTGATTAATAATGTTTTCACATCTATTAAACAACCTAAGATCTGAATTCTAGGTGATCAATCTTAAAACCAATATTAAAGCAATCAAGATGAAGAACCAAATGATTTATCCTTCCAGTTTTGTAGTTCTAACAATTCATTATCAACCTTTGAATAACCCAAAACCTAACTAGCAGATTACTCAGACATAGCAGGTGAAACACAAATCATGACTGAATAATATTGCATTAAGAAAATAGAGTAAAATATTAAAGGGGTTCGAAATTCTTCTCTACAGAGTATGGATTTGTCTCCCCAAAAGCTCTCAATCTAATCTCTCTCTTTGTCTCAATAGTTCTCAGAATATCTGCCTAACAATGGCTTAGAAAACCTAAATACAAGTCTAAACACGAACTGGGGAAAAAGTGCAAATAGTGGGAAACTTCTGGGCCAAGTTGCAATTTCTTCTAATGAGATTTAACGCTTCTTCGCAACCACGATCGGTGTCGATCGACACCAAGAGGTGGGTGTCGATCGACACCTTGCTCTTTAATGCCCTCCGACTTGGTCTTTTCAGCAACAGCTTCAGTATAGCTCCAAAAGATTCCAGAATCCACAATTATGCTCCATTCGTACCTAAACCTGCAAAGACTCTATAGGACTCGAAAAATACCAAAAAGACTCTATAAACAGGACTTATATCATGGTCAAAAATCAGAAAAAACCATGATATATCATGCTTCGTAATAGATTGCCCCGTTGATGCAAACCGCAGGTTGGTATGGAACGTTAAATCCAATGCTGCATTCGATATTCCTCCATTCGTTTTTGGGATCTCCCAACGTGAATACTTGATAAGACCACCCGAGTAAGTAAACTTGTCGCAATACTTTGTATTGATTCTCGAGAGGGTCGTATCCGAATGAGTAGAAACATGATTTCGATATAGACCCAATGGGTAAGGAGAGTGTTTGGCTCGTGGTAGGGTTGTGTATTTTGAAGAACTGACCATCTTGTAATGACCAAAACCCGATCAAGCCACGTACGTATTGAAACTCTGTTCTTATGTGTCTCTCGCATCTGCTTGTTCCAAATATTTTCTCGTTTGGGTAAGTATACGAGAAGACACAGAGAGGTTCAGACGAAACTTTACGGAAGATGAAGTGGGGATTTTCACATGGCGGTTGAGTCAAAGAGCGAGTCACGATCGAGTCTATGACTATGATGTCTCTGATAATTGTTGTCCATTGCTTTGAGACGCATAGGAACTTCATGATAGATTTAGTTGGAAGTTTCTTCAGTATCTCCAACGTTAGATCCAGAGGGATAGTGACATTGAGGGACCTTTCTACGGCCATGATCTCTCTCTCTTTCTCTCACGGATGTGAAGTTTCAGGAGCTGCGATGAAGGAGATTGTTAGGTCTTGTGGTGCTTCTCTTCGCTTTCTAGCTATTTTTTTTTCTTTTTCTTTTGTAAACCAATAGAATTTGATTTTACAATAAAACTGAAATCAATAACAGCACAAACCACACATTTGCAAAGTTAAACATGATTTCAAGGGTCGACAAGTTTGTATGATTTTCTAAAATCTGTGTTTTTGTTCAAAATTCATTTTTTGACGTATTCGATTTGGTCAGTTTAGTAAAAAAACTCAAAGAATTAAAAGTTTAGATGAATTCAAAATTTTGAGTTGAGATCGTACCTTTTTCTGAGTATCCTTTGATTTGGTCAAAAAAATATATAAAATCATATCTTTTTCTTTGAGTTTGGTGACTTTTTTTGTTTGAGAAGATAAATGTGACCAGAGTTGATAATTTAGAGTTCGATTTTATAGTTAAAAAACAGTACTACAAAAGTTCGAGATTCATTTAAACTCTTTCAAATTTAATGAATTGTAAAAATTTATCAAACATGAATAAGACAAAATTTAATTATTATCTTTATTTGAATATCCATGGATTTCAAACTTTTCTAATAAAAAGTTTATAAATACAGAACTAATAACACTAGATTTCAAATTTTTTGGTAACACTAATTTAAATATAAAAATTAATAACACTAAATTTTAATAAAATAATTCAAATCAGTCATTAAATAACAATCTAATCAATACTATCATAACATAAATGTCTCTTTATGTATTGATATATCATATTTTTTTTGTGTGATAAGAGAGTGACATCAACAAAATATTGAACCAATTAAATTATTTTATTAATACAGGTCAGTTTCAATTTTTACACATCAACTTTCTCTATTTATATCTTTCTTTCCATGATTTGCAAAGCTTTCTAATTCCGACAAATTCTCTGTCATCTTCTCTTCTCGCAAGTCAGATCAGGAGCTATAGCTTAATTCATGACCTGATTTCTCTGTTGGGTCTTTTTAGAACCGGTGTGGTGGCAACGACATTCTTCTTAGTGGGACCAGATACTGTACCGCTATGGTGGCACTGCATTCTCTTCAACTAAACGAGCCGGTTAATGCACTGTCTTTATCCACTTGGATTGTTCACGTTTTCAGCGTTGTAGAATAGTTTTTCTCCTCTTTCCTTACTCTAATTGATTGAAATATATGCAACATATTTAGAGGCATAATTAAATTATGTATGTGCTCAAGAACTTTGAAAACCATCTAATATTACCAGGAAAACGTGATCCAGAGATCTTCTAAAAGCAGCTACGCCAACACAGAAAACCAGCTCTGCCACTTGATGAAATTAGACGATTCCATATTCTAGATCCAGTTCTGCAAACAGAGGGATAACTTTGTGAATCTTGTCTGCCTTAGCTTGAGTTCTCTGCGAATGTGCAGCTTGAGTTCTCCGTAAATAACAAACAAAATCAGCTTCAGTTCTCTGTGAATGTGAATGAGGGATAACTCCAGCAAAACACTCACTCCGATTTTGCATAGATCAGTAAATCAATCTATAGGATGTCACACTGAATAATCTGTGATTTGGTGATGTGATGGTGATGAACGATGTAGATGAATTGATAAAGAGAGAAGAAAAATGGATAAATGTTTGCCTTTGAATGAAATTGAGAAATAGATATCTCAAAATGTTTGCCTTTGAATGAAATTGAGAAATAGATATCTCACCCTTGCATTTGGTGCTAACATGAATAGTTTTCCTTTTATGAGGAATGTGGTAGTTGTTGATAGAAATTTTTTAAAAGAATGCTCCTAACCACCTCAGTTTAGGAAATATTTTCAATCAAGTTTTCCGTAAGTGACAAAAAAATGATGAATCTTAGGAGTTGGTTTTCAAACAACTTAATTACATGATTCTAGATGACGAGGAATTTATACTTATATATAATAGGCACAAAGCTATTGAAAATATGATTGAAAATATATATTTCATGGCCAGTAGAGAAATATGCACATATCATCTATATAAGAATATACTATTACGATTTAGAGACGATGATGTATTTTGTCTGATTAAAAATGTTGCTAATTTTTACAGAATATCTGATTTCAAACTACAAAATGATTGAATCCGGCTACATGCAAAATGATAACTAATTAAACAAATTAACAAAAAAAAAATTTTGTGCAAATAAAAAAATAAATTATGAAACTAAATAATTAAATTATAAGTCTACGATTTATAAAATTACAAAATATTTAATAAAAAATCGAAAGATTAATGTTTTTTAAATTATGAAATTAGTTAAGTTATAGCTCTGTTTGATTTATGCATAAATTCCAAAAGATTAATGTTTTCAAATGAAAAAAAGAAAAAGAGAATGTTTTTCAACGGAATGCAAATTGGCGGATTTTGGGCTTTTAAGGTTCTTCTACTCTCCAGTCTACATATAAGCCCACCAAAGAGAAACATTACGAGAGTCGGTAAAGCTCGAAAAAGCTCCCAAACAATTTTAATTTTTCTTTTCCGCCGGAGAAAGATTTGAGGAGAGAAAATCATCTTTTCCCTTAAATTCTGCAGAATCGTAAAATCTCGCAATCTTCGTATCGCTTGCCTGGTGCGTTCCTGCATCGTAGTTCATCTTCAAGATCCATCGCTCTCTCGTAAAATCAGGTATTCTGGTTTCTGGATCTGTTTAAGCTTCATCGCAATTCCTCTAATTACAATAATCATCACTATTCTGTAGCTTAAAACCATACTCGAAAGAAACCTAATCGAGTGAATTTGTGTTTTCAATTGTTTATAGATACAAAAAGCTATGTCAGAAACAGCCATAGTCTCAATCGATTCCCTCGCAAGCGATTTCAACATGGTGACTTCAACAACACAGTCACAGAGACGATCTTCCAAAGAAGGTCCCTTAGCGATTCTATGGGACATTGAGAACTGTCCTGTACCTAGCGACGTTCGTCCCGAAGATGTCGCCAGTAACATAAGAATGGCTATACAGCTGCATCCCGTGATATCCGGCCCGGTGGTTGTCTTCTCGGCTTTCGGCGACTTCAACGCCTTCCCTCGCCGTGTTAGAGAAGGATGCCAAAGAACCGGCGTGAAGCTCGTAGATGTACCAAACGGTAGAAAAGACGCAGCTGATAAAGCTATATTACTTGACATGTTCTTGTTCGTGCTCGATAACCCGGCGCCTGCGACCATCGTTATCATCACCGGAGATGTGGATTTCGCGCCGGCGCTTCACGTTTTAGGCCAGCGAGGTTACACGGTGATTTTGATTATACCTTCTGGTGTGTATGTGAACCCGGCTTTGACTAGTGCAGGGAAGTTCGTTTGGGACTGGCAAAGCATTGTTCACGGCGAAGGCTTTGTCCCGGCGATACCGATACCGAGACCTCTTCCTCCTCCTCCTCGTGTAGGAGCTTATCTAATGGGATGCGGCGGAGTTAATGATAATGGTGGGAGTAATCTTGATTTGATGAATGAAGACGAGACGATTCTCTATAGAGGTGTGTACAGTAGCAACTCTAGAGATCCTTCTTCTTCGTTGATGGCATCGCAGTTTCACAACGAGTTCAGTAGCAGTACAATGTCGTGTTGGCCGTCTACTTCCGGCGAGGCTTCAGGTTATCCTCCTCCTGGTCACCTCGAGTCGACCATGTGGGTTGCTCCTGGGGATTTAAACGGTTTAAAGGGGCAGCTAGTGAAGCTTCTTGAACTTTCCGGCGGGTGTATGCCTCTCATGAGAGTTCCATCAGAGTACCAAAGGAATTTCAGTAAACCGCTTTTCGTAGCGGACTATGGCTCGCCCAAGCTCGTTGATCTTTTCAAGAGGATGAGTGATGTGATTGCTGTTGATGGTAAAGGCAACAAGAGGTTTGTTTATCTGCGTAGCTCGAAACCTTCTCCTTCTACTGCTGCTCCTGTGGTTCTACTGAGAAGAGAGAGTAATAAAGGGAAAGAGATTACGGTTACTACCAACGGAGGAGGAGTCTCGTCCGATGAGTTATCCGACTCGGGTTCGGTTCAGAGCGAGAGGAACCTGGACGAGTTCAAGCTCGAGCTGCAAGATATTTTGGTTAGCTATGGTTGTCAAGTACGTATGGATTGTTTTGAGGCGATATATAAGCAGAGGTACAAGAGGTCTTTGGATTACAAGAAGATGGGTGTTGATAAGTTGGAGCAGCTCTATGCAAAGTTCAGTGATGTTATTGTCATATGTGAAGATCCTGCTACAAGAACCAAACTCATCATCGCTCTTTAAAGGGAGAGCCGAAACTCAAGACGGTGCGTTTTGTAAGCTCTTTTGCCTGAGCAGGTGTCCTAGTTTTATTGTAACATGCTCTTTGCTATTTCATTAGGAGACAAGTTTATATAGAGAAGCTTTGATTCTGTCATTTTAAGCATTTCAAACCAGAGAAAAACAAAGTAGTTGTTAGTCTTTGTAAAAAGTAAAAAAAGGGGAATTGTTTATTATTCTCTTTTCTCCATGAATCTTTATGATTTTTTTTTTTGTCATAATGTTCTTTGAACAGTGTGACACAACTGAGTAAGCAACCATAACAATTAATTTTTTTTTCATATGAAGATAAGATAAGGATAGAACAGAACTTTTAAAATCACTATTTTTATTTTGTTTTGGCATCGCAATGATGATGATGAATGGAGCTGGTGAAGATGAAGGAGAAGGCGTTATGATCACGTTGTTAATGCCACGGTCTTACAAATGGGACAGAGATTCTTGAGCATGACCCATTGCTTGATACAGTCTTTATGGAATCCATGGCCACATTCTAAGGTCCCAAGATCATCACCTTCAACATACTCTTCCTGTCAAAACAACAGTTTCACATCAATTCATGAGTTGAGCTTTAAGAAGAGACGCAGAAGAAACTTGATTTAATCAACCAATATTATTCCCAAAATTGACTTTTCATTGCAAATCAAAGAAACATAACATCTCAAACCAAAGGACTGTTGCTAAATGAAACAGACAGTCATAGGGACTAGTTATAAGTACAATGTAGACAAATGCTTATTCGAGATTGCCAATGAACACCAAGAGCTATGAGATACATAGAATCAAGCGATGGCTAAGGTTTGGTTATAGAATCCACAAACTCTCCCAAACAAACCAAAAACCAAATAAACTCTTACTTATGGTATCCTATTTCACTCCATATGAATAAAGAAACAATGAAAGCAAAGCTCAGAAACAACAGTTTTCTTCATATTAACTATCGCATAAGAAATGGCTTTCTTGCCAAGTGAGTATAAAGATGCATGATCAATGTAGAATAGTGAAGGTTACAAGAGTCAAAACACTTTTGGTTCATAGTTAAATACCTGACATATACAGCAAGGCTCAATGTCTTGGTGAAACTCAGTAGAAGAAGATGTATATTTGTGCTGTTTCATTGTTTTCAAAATGACATCTTCCTTTAGCCCAGTGCTCACATCTCCTATGCGTTCCCCAAGTGCCAATAGCTCCTAACATTCATTTCCCACAAGATATGTTTGGCAAATGGGAAGATTGCAATAAACAGTACAAAAGGAAATTAAGAACTCACCTCGTACGACATGTTGTCAACATCAAGTCGCATTTCCCTATGCCTATCGTGCATTTCAGTCATACCATGGTAGATAAGTGGATCCAACACCATGTAATCCTATCAAATCGAAAAAAGGAAAGATAAGCTACATATACATGATTCAAGAAGAATAAAAGTGCTAAAGAACTCACAAATGCCTAAAGTTATGTTCAGTATGTGAGACCTACAATACTTAAAACTATAATACAGTGCAGCTACAAAGATGTCAGACACTTAAGTGCAGGACACTATGGCTTAAAGGTTATAAAGCAAATTTTTTTACTCATGGCATGGAAAGGCATGGTTTCTTCGCAAAATGTAAATCATGACACAAATGATTGAAAAATCACACTTCAGGACAACAAATATACCAAGAAACGGAAAGAGTTGTTTCCATTAACTGATATTAACAGGTACTATAGTTGAAACAATACTTTGTATCGAAATCATACCTCAATCCGTAAATTTTCCCCTCTTCTCATGGCGGACAACACCTGACGTATCTGCGAACAAAAAGAGGAACACGTGCAGCTCATCATCACATTTTTTTTTTATCAAAATGCAACCAAGCAATTTACAAGTAGCAGTTGCTAAGGATGGTTATAAACCAGATGTATAAATCAAACATCCAAAAATGCAACACAGCAATGTGGTTTGCATATGGAACTCATATCAGAATGCATCAAACCGCTCTAGCTCTCATATAGTTAAAGTTAAACCTTTCAGAAGAGACATGTATTAGAGCTCATTGGAAAAATGATCAAGTCTCGGGTTTCAACCAAACTATGGGATGCATTCAAGTCTCAAAAAGTTTTGATCAATAGTCTGTCCTGCATAGCCTTACCTCAAACAGACCATGCATTAATCAATTTTTTTGAACACTATCTATATGAAGTTAGATCACAATAAGTACAATACAGAAGCAGATAATATCACACCTAACAGGTATGTACTAAAGCATATTAAGATCCTACAGAGAACACCTCAAAACAAAAAGAAGACAAACTAAACTAAAAACTATCACAACAACCGATAGATGCTACTCTTGACATTCATAACATGTGATGCTTTTCTGGGAAGGACTCTTTTAACAGTTGACTTTTAAAAAGATGGTGAAACATGCTACAAAGTGTCATTAGCATCAACCAAATTATCATGAAAGAGCTAGCATTTTATAGAACACATACCTCAGAGATGAGGTGATTCCTTCCATCACTGTCAGCAGCTAAGCTTCTCCCTAAGTGACGCAACTGGAGAAGATCATTCTGTCTCTCCGACAACAACCCTGATCTTCTCTGCCGTGAGCGATGGCTTCGGCTACTAGAACTAGATGGCACTGCAATCTCATTTGAGGAAACAGAAGGACCCGTGGGCAATAATGGAAGAGACGCACCATGACTAGCAGATTGAGATTCAATACTAGGAAATAAAGACCAAGGAGAAACTTCCGATGTCCTCGATGGATTATGTAACGGTGCACTCTGAGGAGGAATCCAAGCGGGAACAGGCTGCCGCGCATTATGAATCTCTGAACTCGACCCTGCTCGAGAAACAAACGGAGAGTCTATAGATGGACCAGAGTTCCCACGAGAGAAACTCCAAATGGATTGATCATGCACTGGTGCAAACATGGGCTGCTCTGGATGGCTTCTCGGTGTTTCCCATTGTGGTCCAAACCGCTCTGCAGGCATTCCAAAACCCGAAGAGTCGCTGGCTCTCGAACTGAAAGAAGCATCCCAAGCAAATTGGTGTATGTTCCTGGTCAAAGCAGGGAGATGGACTATATTTGTCTGATTCTCACCACTGCTTGAGCCACTACTAATCGATCTTGATCTCACATCGAGAGGATCTGCAAAAGGAGAGTTCTGTTGCAAAGAACCAGCGGGACGCACAGAACCTCCACCATGTGATACGCTGAACGCTACAGACTCTTGAGGCTGTCTTGGATTCAATCTTCTTCCAGGTCTAGAGAAAGTGTCAGTGTTTCTTGGAGGATGAAAACCATTAATAGTAACCGTTCTTCCACCACCAGTTCCAAACATTTGTTCCGTCCTTCCGAAATGATTCGTAGTGACATTTGGAGAATTCTGTGAAGGTGTAGCCAAGCTCAAGCTGCTTGAAGCACCATATTGAGAAAGACCTGAACCACTTTCAGTCCGGAAAACGCAGTCAGGAGTTTCACCGGAGAAAGGAGCTCCTTCGAGAGCCTTTCTTTTGCAGGACGAGCCCCAACCACCACTCAACGAAGATGCTGGACCACTACTGCTCTCTCCAGCCGCCTGAACCGAGCTTCCTAATGAACTCCCACAGTTACTCTGACGGATAACGACACCGGAAGTCTGTGCAGAACCATAACCATTGGTGTCCATGTCCATGCTTACATGCTGTGACATAGGATTAGAGCTTGAACCGCGCAAGAAAGACTGTCCAGGTAACAGCAACTGCCTTCCTTCAGAACCAGATCCAACAACCTGATGATGACCACCGTCTTGAGGCAGCTGGTGATTTGTCTTCATCCCGACCTGATGAGATGGCCCTGAAACGGAGCTTGATTCTCCGAACCTCCACCAGTTATGGATTTGAGTAGCATGAGAACTCGAACTCGCGTAAGTTTGTCGTCCTGAAGGCGTACTGCTGTTCGGAAACTCGTTGTCTGCTGGAGTCGGCATGTTATTGAAATTGGTCTCTGCGCTATAAACCGATTCACCATCTCCCTGATTCACCCCAGAAGATGAACCACCAGTGTTCCTTGGCCCTTGCATCGGATTTATACCTTAGACTATAGAACACAAGGACTTTCCAGGAAACAGATCCAAGAGTTACAAAGACTTTGAGGAGACCTAGAGTCACAGAAACAGAACACACACGAGAAGATTAATAATAATGCATAAGAAATCCAACTGAAACAAGTGCACTACATTTACCATTACGACCGTCACAGCCCAAAAGTTCGCTATATCTCTAGCTTTAGGGCTTTGCTCAAGCTCCCACTATAGCTTCTGCATTAATGCTTTGATCAGAAACTTTCACAAATGATTCATAATGTTAAATTTCGATCAATCAAGAACTTCATGATGACTCCAGTGAAGTACATAACTCATAAATCATGATCTTTGGCATTTAACTTCGTGTGGGATTAACAATCAAGGAACTAAAAGACTAAAACTTTATAAGCATTGACCCAAAGACAACCTCATTAACGGATTCTTCGACAATGATATTAGATTACAGATTACTTAAGCTTATGTTTATTTAACACAACGGCGAGGGTAAATTACATCTCCAGATTCATTCAAGAAGCTCTAAGTATCACATTTCTGATTCACTTACAAACGAAATCGAGTTACTTACATATGAAACCAAATCGAAGCAATCCGATACCAAATCCAAATTCCACAATCTTGCGATGGAAAAGAAAAAACCTAAAGTGGGTCAATAGGATCACGACGATCTAAACAATGACGCCAATTAAAGAACGAAAATTTCACAAGATTGAGAGAAACGGTACCCGCGAAATCCCTAGAGGAATCAGATGGGTCTCGATGAGTTTCAATTGAGGTTAAATTAAAATCTTTTTTTTTTTGTTGAAATTGAAACTTCCGGTGGTTTTTTAATTTGTGGGTGGTGGTGGTTGTCTCAGTTTCTTTTCGGTTTTTCGCTTTCCCGGAAAATGCAAAAAAAAAATTCTCGGAGACAGAACAAGATGAGAAAAATGAAAAGGGAAGAACGAACATACGAAGGAAAATTTGTTTATTTGGAAAATTGAACATATAAGCAATGGATGAGGAAGGAGAGGATTAAGAGACGTACAGATTTCATGTGACATTTGTTTTCCAAAAATCTTTCAATATATTTTCTTTTTATAAGTTACTGCAATTAAATTTCATCAGATATGGTTTTTACAAAAATTAATAATAAAAGAAAAAGTTTGGTAATGAATGATTCTGCCATTATTTAAGGTGTAAGATTTTGCAGGACGTCACTTGTCTCAGTGGTATGGTGTAGTGGCCTAGCGGCCTAGCTACCTTTCTTTTAAAATTGTGAAATTCACGGTAAGAATAATTTGTAACTTTCTATTTATTTAGGAAAAAAAAATGGAAGAAACTTTAATAATTTATCAATATTCATATCGAATTTTATAACCCGAATATTATAGAATTTTAATCAGATCAACAGAAATACATTAATCATATATTAATATTATTTGAATATATATAAAAACAATTTATGTATTAATTGTAGTTAATTAATTAATTATTTTTGTCCATGAAATTTGTGAAAGCAAAATAAAAATCTGACTCTATTTTAGAACTAATTCATTTATAATAAAATAAACCAAATGTTGAATTAACCAAACCAAACCAAATTAACAATATGATATATAAGTTTGATTAGGTTAACCGACATACAACATTAGAAATTAAATTTTTAAACTATTATTAAAGTAAATATACTAAAAATCTGCAATACAAATTAAATGTAAATCAAATCTTCTATATACTGAATAAACCGAAAATCAAATTTACCGAACCAAACCTGATTTCTCAAAGACGTCACTTGTCTCGATGTGGTGTTTGCTGGCCTAGCCACTAGCTAGCTACCTTTCTCTTTAAGATTAAACTGTTAATAATTTAATAAAATAAAATTGTAAAACTACATTACTCACTGTAAGAAATATCAAAAGACTAATAACAAATTCGAGAGTCCACTTAGTATATCAATGATGGTTGATATGACCGCCATAGCTACTAAGATCGAATAAAAAAATGTGTTTTTAACAACCAGATATTTCACATAATAAAGATTGATCTATGAGCATCTAAGTTATTGTCTTAATTTAATTCTTCCGAACACAATTGCCTTCAAATTCGGTAAATAACAAACCAAAATAAAGAGCCAAATCAAGTCTTCAAACAAAACATATTCAGTTTTTAATGTGGTGGAGGGAGAAACACAAACCATGTCAAAGAATCCTACAGAATAAAAGAAAAGTCTTCAAATGTGTATGGAAGAGACAAAGCCACACTTCGAAAAACTGTATTTTTCAACTTCAACAGAGAACAGAAAGACAAGAACAACACTTTAAGAGACAGGGTTGTCGCCGAGGTTCAAAGAAGCAAGCTGCTCCGCTGCACCACCCGCAGCGACACTCCTGAGAACCTCCATAGCCTCAGCTACTTTAGCCTTAAGTGCATCAGGCGACTCCAAGAGATGGAGCACTTCGGTCTGATCCATCTCCAAAAGCATCCCAGTCACTTTAGCTGCAGACTCTGGTTCAAGCTGCTCCACAAGCGGATACAGATTCTCACCAAGCATCTACAAATCACAGACATCAAAATCAAGATTAAAGAACCAAGACCACATAGAGATAACAGCAAGAATAATAAAAAAAAAAGAAGCTTTCTTTCTCACCGTCCTCTGGTGTTCAGGAGAAGCATTAGCAAGGGATGTAGCCAAAGCTCCAATAGGAACATGCTGAGGAATCACAGGCTCACGCAACGGCATGTTACTAGGCATCTCATACGGAAGCATTCCAGGCACATCAGGGGGACCACCACTCCCACGGCCTTGAGGAAACCGGAACATGCGTCCCCTCGGGTGCATCTAATGGTTAGCCACAGAGACAGATTAACACGAGAACCCTCCTACCAAGGTATAACAGACAATTGATGAGTAAAAAAAGAACCTGGTGCTGCTGCTGCTGCATTATAGGAACTTGTTGCTGCTGCTGGGATTGTTGGATCCCTCCAGGGCGTCTCCCTCCAGGACGTTGCTGGCCCTGCTGAACCATTGGCATGAAGAAGTTGTGCATCGGTGCAGCACCAGGTCTCATCCCAGGAACCATCTGCTGCTGGTAGCCATACCCGGCCTGCCGAATACAAACCATCCACCAGTATATTAGGAAAACAGGAGATGCAAAACGACTCAATGTATAGGAAGAAGGAGTACCTGCTGAGGAATCATAGCAGGAGGTCCCTGACCATAAAACACTTGTTGTCCGATACCGGGACCACCAGGGGGATACATCGGCATACGAGGACCAACAATTGGTGGCATTGCAGCTGGTCTCATTTGAGAAAACTGAGCCTGTTGACATCATGGTGTAAATATCAGTCATTCCATGAAACATTCACCACCCAGAGTTCATAGGAATATATAAAGTTCCAAACGGTATTATCATCTAGATCTTAGATTATAGAATGCATAACAGTTAAGAGCCCATGAGTATAACAGGAAAAAATGTATTGTAAAGTTAAGACATATTTACTACCCTTGCAAGTCAGGGGCAGTGTTATCTGCATAATAATTCAGCATATAATTCAAATGACTCAACAATTACCAAAATGCATCTCTTTGTTACAGATAGAAATTGTAAGCAGATGTGTCAATTCACTCAATATTGACAGGTCCAACTGTCTAAAATCGAGAAATAAACAAACATAAAAGAGCCAAAAAGCTCGGTATCAAACCTGGAGTCTGGCCCTTCTGTCCTCCTTTCGCTGAGCAACAGCAACATAGAGAGGTTTGTTTTCAATCATTTTACCACTCATCTCTGACATCTGTACAGGTTCCTACTGTTAGTAAAAGCTGAAGAATCTCTTGTTCATCGTAAATGAACTCAAAAAGACATTACGATTATCTTACAGCTTTGGTTGCTTCTTCGGGAGTTGAGAATGCTACAAAACCAGATCCCCTGCTTATGCCATTAGGATCCCGCATCACCTGTTATGTTTAAGAAAGGGAGTTTATATATATGCAATCATCATATTACAGTACAATCCAGATTAGCAGAGAAGTGAATATTGGACCTTGCAAGATGTAACAGTGCCATAAGGTGTAAAGAGCTCCTTGAGTTTCTCGTCAGAAACGCTGTCATCTAAGTTCTTAACATACAAGTTGGAACTCTGAAACTTGTCTGCTGCTTCCCTCAAACTCTGCTCATACCTAACCTTTAGTTCCATTTCCCTCTCAGACTTCTTCTGGGCTCTACCAACATACCATTCCTTATCATCAAATGTTTTCCCATTAAGAGCTTCCACAGCCTTGGCAGCATCATCTGCGTTGTCAAAGTTCACAAACCCAAAGCCCTTTGACTTCCCTTCTCCATCTTTCATCACCACAGCACTCGTGATCTTTCCAAACTCACCAAAAGTGTTCTTCAAATCATCATCAGTAGTTGATTCAGAAAGATTCTTCACATACACGTTGGTGAATTTTGTTATGTTACTAGTAGAATCTCTCTCTTGCCTCCTGAGGAAAGGTCCAACATACACTTGCTTGTCATTCAGCAACATACCGTTCAATTGCGCCATAGCTCTCTGAGCAGATTCCTCAGTTTCGTATTGCACAAACCCATAGCCTTTTGATTGCCCTGAAGAATCCACAGCTACCTTGCACGAGACAATGTTCCCGAACGCAGAGAACGTATCGTGCAACGCTTTGTGGTCTATGGACTTGTCCAGATTCTGCCATATAAAACCCAGGTTTAGCACAAACGTAGCAAAGTAAAACAAAAAGACAATACCTTCGTCGGAAAACGAAGGCAATTAGTCGAAGATTGAAGAAAAAGGGGACACAGAAGTGTACCTTGATGAATATGTTTCCTGCACCACTTCGGCGAACACTTGGATCGCGATGAGAGTACATAACCCTGACAGGTTTCCCATTAAGAGGTATGTAATTCAATTCCTGGATCGCTCTTGCAGCTGGCACATAAACACAACATAAAGTTTCATCAAATGTCGCATTCGCAATAGTTTAAGACCAACCAAAGTCTAGGAGTCATCCATAGATTAAAGGCACATTCTTCACAACAAGTAGGTTCTTTTTGAATTGTTAAAGAAAAAAATACCATTTTGTGAAAGAAAACAACAAAATTTCAATCTGATTCTCTTCAACCTAATCTTGGCAACAAATATAATGCACTATTCCCAAAAATCCCCAACTTTTTTGTCCTAATCTTTATCCCTAAACTTAGATTTAAAAAACCCCTAGAAAAAGGAGAAACTTTTCATTCCTTTCGATTCAAACACGCATAGAACTAAGTATATCACACAATCAAGCAAATCGAGAATTCTTCAGAGTCTAAATTACATAGAAATACAATGGTTATAATTAAATTAAAATAAAAAACCCTAATTCAATACTAACCATCTTGGGGACTGCTGAAGTTGACATAGCCATAGCCTAGAGATCTCCGAGTAGCCAAGTCTCTACAGACACGAACCGATACAACTTGACCCATCTGGCTAAACGCATCGAAAAGCTGCGAATCGGTAACATTCGCATCCAGATCTCCAACATAAAGCGACGTCGTACCGAACTGAGCACCCGCTGCCGCAGAACCAGGCGCCATAGGCGGTGGAACAGAGCCGTTCGGAGTTTGACCTTGAGGCTGAACCTGAGCCATTTTTTTTTTCTTTTTGGAGATTTTCTTCTTTTTTTAGGGTTTTTCTTTACTCTTCTCTCCCCTCTCGTTTATTCCAGAGCAATCAGATAGAAACGAAAGAACAAAGCAACAATAGAGGAAAATTAAGCAGAAGAAAGAAACGAAGCGGAGAGATTTATGTCTTTTTATGGGTTTTTTATGGGGATAAGAGGAGGAGAGGGGAGGAGAAAAGGGTAAAAGCAGTTGCCGGCGGCGAAGCCTGCGGCGGCGCGTGCGATATCGAAGATAGTTTGGTGAGAGATTTGGGGGAAACTGAAGACAACTGCGAAGAGGAAAGAGAGACACAACGATTCCGATTTTATGCTTTTATAATTAAAGAATTTTTGTTTTTTACTCTCTTTTTTTTTCTTTTTCCTGTGTGTGGGAAGCAAAACTGAACCCTAGATACGTGTCAAAGGGACATGTGCGACAAAGATCTCAACCGTTGGATCGATCGGTTCTGATGTAAAACGTTAGGATTTTACGGTTGGAAATTTACGGTTTGTGATGATAAGTGATGGACTTGTATATTTTTTTTTTTACTTTTAGGGTACAAATGTTTTTTTTTTTTTCTTTTTCATACAGAATGTGATACAGGAAAAATGCATCTCTTTCTAATAATTTTACAAAAGAATGGGAATCATAAAAAATAAATATCCAAAACATTAAAAGCCAAAACCTAATATCATTAAAAACCAATCATATAAAAACAGAATTAAAATACAAAATTAAAGCAAAAAACTGAATAAAATAAAACACTAAAATTAATGAAATTAAATAAATTTTTTTTTTCCATTAATAAGTTGAAGGATAGAAATTTTTTTACAGTTTTAAAATTACTTTTAATTTATTAAAGTTATAACAATCTAGATCTGTAAAACCGCTTAAAAACCACTCTAATTATGATTGGATTTTGGAATCCGCTTATAAAGATGAATTACTACTTAAGGAAAATAACTAACTAGATAGACGACAAAAAAAGAACGACGACAAACATATGCTCCTCACCAACGCGGCATACCCCCCAAATTGGAACCCACACACTCTTTAGAAAACCAGATCCGAGTACAAACCACCACTGAAACTCGAAACGCTCTTCCATCTGGCCACTCCTCCGCAGGACACCCCCTGAAATGGAGCCGCCAAAAAGCTATCACCAGATTGAAGATGGAAACTCTTGCTTTAATTTCGCCGATGAAACCACATGAGCCCAACAAACCAAAGACAAATGCTACCAAAGAAAGGCAAAAACAAGAAGAAACAACCCTCTCATAATGTCGGCGAAGACCACCGGACACCTGAGAGGTAAAACCCAAAAATCGCTTTTTTCTTTTTTCTCTTTCTAGCGGCTAGGGCGAACCTGACCATACAATGATTTTTTCATTTTAGGGTACAAATGGTATAAATGCAATTAATGGAATAAAGATTAACAAAACATAAATGATAGAGTATTAAGAGGTGTATATGATACATAATTTTATAATATTTGGTGATTGTTTTAAGAAAATTTGTTATTGAACTAATGGATTTGACTGGTATGTCAATATAATATCTGAATTGCGGAATCGCTGAATAATAAACTAGCGGAATCAATAAGATGGATAAACTGAAAACTGAATAAACTCAAAACGCTAAAAATCTAGTAACAATTAGATGAATAGATTTTTCCTCTAAAACTAGTTATAAATTTAAAAAGTGCATGATATATTAAAAAATAGCGTATTAATTTTCACATTTTATCATCCACTGTTTATTATTGTGAGTGGTATACATTTAGTAGAATCACGTTTCAAAACATGAAAAATATACATTTCGTTTAACCACATGATTTCTAAATGTCTTATCAAATTTGATTTTATTAAACGTGAAATCCATGTAAAACTAATTAAAGTCATCTAAAATCTCCTATTCAATCAATAATTTAATAAAACTAAATCAAATCAACCGTTATTCAAAATCAAACATTTTTTTTTTAAATAGTTGTGAAAATGATTTGAAGTTTACATCAACTTTTACTTACAAACAATAAACTAAAAATTCACACTTAAGGAGATATCTTTTTAGTGACTTCAAAATAATTATTTTTTATGAAAGAATACATTGTAAAATAATTCCTCTTCTTTAATGACAAAAAACATATCTATCTTCTTCATCGCATTCTTCACCTTCATCCTTTGCAGATTTCTGAATTGAATTTTTGCTTTCTTTTCGAATCAATAAATCAATCGCTTCTCTCTATAATCAGTTGTTTTTTTTAATTCTTAAAAGAGTTTTATCTCTCAATCCTTCTAGTGTTAGATCTGAGATTCACCTAAGATCTGTTGTTGGTCGAGCTATGAGCTTTCAATCTAGCCATCACTTCTTCTAGCTAAGGCAAGTCCCTCGAAGCAGGACTTTTTGCAAGTTCTATTTATACTTCAAAGTTATCATAATCCTCAAATCAGATGTTGTATATGGTCTTAGGTGTCAAACACACTTGTGGAAGATGAAATACAAACAATGATGTAAGCTAAGTGAAATTGGGGATTTTGTTTGTAAAGAAATGATTCTAACAACCTAACAATGCAATGAAAAGAAAGCAAAAACCAAATGCAAGTAAACAAGAACTAAGAAATGAACTCAAAGCAATAACTAAGCAAGAACTAAATGACAATGACTAAGCAAGAACTAAGAAATATGATTTTAAAGACAACTGATAAAAAGCAAGACTCAAGGTTCTAAGCAGTTGTGGGATTAGTGGTTTTCAAGAGTGACAAGGGGATTTCTAGCAAATGCAAACATCAATCATTTAAAAGCAAGCATTTCTCAATGTTGAACTCCTAGACAAGGTATCTAGCTTGGCGTCAATAAGCAATTCAAATTCAATAAGATTGAAGTGTCAAACCCACTTGTGATGGCGTATTCTTCAACTATGAGCATAAAGATCAGAACCATTCTAGCCTAAGAGAAACACCAAGCATGCAAACATTCTCTCACTCAAGCAAGAATTTAGATCAACTTATCAATCTTGTGAACCAATAAAGACCTACTTAGCTAAGCACCAATAAAGAATATGGACTTAAGCACACAGTTGCAACATCCTAACAATGCTAAGCAATGAGCAGGAATGAAACAAAGGCAAGATCCTTCAATGCACACTATCTAACCATCAAGCAAGAATCTTAAAACCAGCATTATCTAGCCCTAAGCAAATCATCTAGTAATGGTGAACTATCACTTTGGTGTCACTGAACAAAGGAAACATAGACCAAGCCAAACTATCAAGCCAAATAAGCAAACCATGCTTAGAGATTAGATAACAAGCCATCTAATGAACCATATGCATCAATCAATATCATATTCAATCAAAAAGAGCAAGCTTTATTAACAATAATCACTTTGCAAGAGAAGGAGACAACAGAAAACAACTAATGAAGCCTAATCATCCCTTAATCACCACTTTCCCTACTTAGAACCCTAAATCTAAGGTAGACTACTCACTAATCATGTTTAATCCCATTTGTTTAGAGTTAAACATGATCATATGAGATTAAAATGCAAAGATGATAAATCTAAACTACCAAGATGCTAGAAATAAGATCAAGAGATAAGATTAAACCATAAAAATGCAAACTTTATTAAAAGAAAGGATTTATAGAGCAAATCGCCCTAAGGTTTTGAACAAGATGAAAAGAGAGAGTTTTTTTTATAGAAAGACTTAACTTGGATAAAGATAATATTTTGTGGCTTCTCTTTTATAGAACCAATAGAAGCATATAAACCTAAAAATAAGATAAGGTCAACAAAAATCAAGTGGTCAACGCGCGGATGAGTTGCATCGAGGTGGTACAGATGGTGTTCTGCTCGATGTGCGGCCTCGACATGGCTCGTGCAGCACGTATCGGCTTCCTTGCTCGATGTTGGACCTCGATGCAGACCAACGTCTTAGACTTCTCGTGCTGATCCTCTTCCTCACATCATGCGAGTTACATCGAGCATATTCCATGGAGGTTTTGCTCGATATTCTTGCTCGATATGGACCAGACTTTGCAAAAGCTCCTTTTCTGACATCCTCTTCGAACATGAGCTGCTTCCATCTTCTTTCCAACTCCAAGAATCTCCAAAACACTTGAAAATCAACACAAACATGCACATGTATGCAATCCTAAGCTAAATGCATGCCTTGTTGATTCTAAGTGCAAATGAGACTAAACTGCTAAACTATAATGCAAAAACAAAGGAAAAGATGCATGAAATGCAGCCTAAAATGCTCTAAAATAGCAATCTATCAATACCCCCACACCTAGTTTTTACTTGCCCTCAAGCAAACAAACATTTAACATGGTGATGAGGTTTCAAATGGGAACTCATATCTCTAAAAATGCTAACAATAAATCAAAATAAAGTCCATGTTCTTAATTCTAGAGTGCACTTGATGGAAGAATACTTTAAACACTTAGCCACTTTCATCACAAAGCAAGAATGATCACAATGCTATCAACCTACACATGCTCATCAAATCAAACAACCTTTTTAACATTCAATTAAGCTCAAACCGTGAATCATGCTTATGCAAATGCAAACGTGTCATTTGGCTTAAGGGACAAGGCTTAGTGGAATAAAAATGATCTCACTTCTCAAACTGGTTTTGGTGTTTAAAGGATTCTCTCAAGGAAAAGCATGGTTGTGTTTTGGCAAAATGCTAAGGGTCAGAGAACAACTTACACATACAAAGGAAGACTTCCATCTACCCAAGACCTATAAGATATGTTTCTAACTCTAGCTAAACAATGTAAACCTGCCTATGCTACCCTTTTTAAGAATTTAAACCCCTTTTAAAAACCCAAAAACTCTTCTCTTTCAAGCGCTTTAGAGGACACTTCTTCTTTTGAACTTCAAGTGGTGGCAATTTGCTTCTTTTTAGTTTGGCTCCTTTATTAGGTGACGCT